GCTGAGCCTAAGCGGAGCCCGAGTGAGGGACACCCACCCCGCGGTCCCCCCAGCTCTGAGCCTGGGGTCAGACCAGCTGAGCCTAGGCGGAGCCCAAGTGAGGGACACCCACCCCGCGGCCCCACCCTGCAAGGCCTGGGGGCTGACGTTAGTGCTGAGCATCCTCCAGGCCTGGCCAGCCACCCTGCCCGGTAGGTCCCCCGTAGGACGCCCTCTATACCCAGCTCCCTCTTGCCGTCCACTGGCCGGGGTCAGGTGGGCTCCGCCCCTCCGGCCCCTCTCAGGCCGTCCCCAGCCTCAAGGCCCTGGCCCGACCTCGACTGCCCAGCGCGCTTGTGTTGTAACTCTTCTTTCTCGCTTTGTTCCTGCTGTAGTAAAGCAGTGTTCAGTAAAAGCCTGGATATCGCTGAGGCCCATCCCCAATTCAGCAAAGAAGACAGGTACACACCCTGCCCACCCGCCCCACTCCCTGCCCACAGATGTTGTCCTGCTGCCCGGCGTGGCGCGGCGGACGCTTCCTCCTGGTTCGGCCACCTGTGGCCCTGAGTCCCCTGGCTGCCCATGGACGGCCACAAGAGGCCACCTGCAGGGGCAGGGCCAGGCCTGGGGCCCCTTCCTGCCCCTCCTCACCCCCTGCTCTGGGCCTGGGGTCAGGCCAGCTGAGCCTAGGCGGAACCCGAGTGAGGGACACCCACCCCACGGCCCCCCCAGCTCTGGGCCTGGGGTCAGGAGAGCCGAGCCTAGGCGGAGTCCGAGTGAGGGACCCACCCCACGGCCCCCACAGCCCCGGGCCTGGGGTCAGGAGAGCCGAGCCTAGGTGGAGACTGAGTGAGGGACACCCACCCCCCGGCCCCCACAGCCCCTGGCCTAGGGTCAGGAGAGCCGAGCCTAGGTGGAGCCTGAGTGAGGGACAGCCACCCGGCGGCCCCCACAGCCCCGGGCTGGAGATTTGCACAGCTCTACCTGCCCAGGACCCCACATGGCAGAGCACCCTTGGTGGCATGGCTGGGGTCCTGGGGTCACCTTGAAGGGCAGCCCAGGCAGATCAGTGTGACCTGTGGCTCCTGAGGAGGGCGGGAGGAGAGGGGGTCAAGGGTCTTACCTGGGCGTCGGTTCCTTCCCCTCAGGCCACTGCTGGGCCTGCCACTGCCCTGGCAGCCGGGGCCCTGCCAAGCTCCCTCTGCCCCCTGTGCCCGCTGCTCCCCGCCATCACTCTGCTCCTTGTGCTGCCCTTCCTGCCTGGGCCTACAGCTTAGCATCCCTGGGCCACCAGGCAAACAGCAGGGGCGGTGGGGGGAGGCTCTTCCCACCCCCTCTTTCTCCTGCTCCTTTTCTGTTTCGTGGAGGCCGGTGACAGGCTCCTGCCTCGGGCCTGGGGCGGCTGGGGGCTTCTTCTCAGGCCCCCACAGGACAACCACAGGGCACTGAGCCACCCTTGAGATAACACGCGGGGTCCGGCCGCCCTGGGCTGGCTCCTGGCCCCCAGGTCCACATCGGGAGCTTGGCCGAGGGCTGAGGGAGGGCTGTGATCTCCAGCTGGGCAGGGCCGTGTGTTGAGTAGGGAGGGATGTCACTCGGGCGGCCCACAGGGGCCCAGGGTTCCGGCGTGGATTCAGGGGCCGGCCTCAGCCCGGGTGCCGGGATGTGGTGCCATTCACAGTCCTCTGGCCTCATCTCCCCCACGGCTGCTCTGGCCCCTCCTGCTTCCTCTCAGGACAGCACGTGCTGGCACCCAGGGGTGAGCAGGCGTTTGCTTCTGCTCCTCACATGGCGGAGGGATGGCATACCCAGGCCAAGTCTGGGTGCGCCTGGCCCCACCGTCCTGCCAGCGCCCACCGGCTTGCCGAGGCTCTTGTAGGGCGGACTCGGGCGGCCACCATTGGCAGCTTCGGGCGAGGTCGGGGTGCCGTGGGCATGGCCAGGCACCGGGATGTGAAGACTGGGGCCCCAGCCAGGCTCGGGGGCCAAGCTCAGGGCAGCAGCCTGGGGAATGAGGGCCCGGCCTGCCTGGGCTGGACAAGGCCCATCGCGCGGGGGCGGGGGGGCTGGGTCCAGCGCCCAAGCAGCCGTGCCTTGTCCTGGGCTCTTGAGTGGGGGAGGAGGCGGCTGAGACCGGTGGCGCTGCGGGGGCTTTGATGGCTCCTGTATGCCCGGGCGCTGCCGAGACCGGAGTGTGGCCAGGGTTCAGCAACACTAGTGGTCTTGGGGCTCCTGGCCAGGGCTGTGGCCTCCTGGAGGGTCCACCTGGGAGGGGAGGAGGCAGAAGACGGCTGCCCCCACGCTCCCCCTGATGTCGCCCCTCTGCCTGTACCCCCAGGTCTCGGTCCATCAGCGGTGCGTCCTCCGGTCTCTCCACAAGCCCGCTCAGCAGCCCCAGGGTGAGTGACCCGACCCCCAACCGCCCCTCTGCCCGCAGGGTGGGATGGGACCCCAGGTGCCCTCAGCCTATGCCGCTCCCCTTCCCGGGAGATCCCTAGCCCAGCCCCCACGCACAGGTAGGTAGGGTCCCCCCACCCCTGGCCCCGGGCTGGGACTGCCTGCGCGCACTGCTGGGGCCCCGCTGGCTGCTGCTGCTGCTGTGACCCCGCGGAGCTCTGCTAACTGCACGTTCTTTTGTTTTGTTTTCTCGTGTGTCCCGTGTTCTTTGGTTGCACGCCCGCCCCCGCCTGCCTGTCTCCCCCTCCGCCTTGTCCCTGTGCTCGGCTTCCTCTGGTCTCCGGTGGCTGTGTGTGTGCATGCCGATGCACGCCATGTGGGCGCGCGCGCGGGCTGCTCGCGGCGTGGGCCCCCCTCGTCCCTGTTCGCGTGGTGC